TTGTGCTGGCATTTTTTTGCGTCATATTCGTCTGGTCATTACGTGCGACTGCCGAAAACAAAGGTGATTCAGGTATTTGCGAGGCAATTGAGTCAGATTTTCATGCCTTCATGAAGCATTCACATGTTCGACGTTCAGCGACAAGAACCGGCGACGGTTGCTCCCCCTCGAGTTCATCTCGCAGAAGAAAGACACAGCAAACCGAAAGAGGGAAAAGCGATCTATCACAGTGCATGGCGTATGTTTGATCTCGAGGACGAACGACGACGCTCACTCGTACAGGCGACCCAGGACGCTGATCGGCGGGTCGGACGGAGCGTGACACTCGTACTTGCGACAGCGGGACCTGAGAGACTTCTCACGCCGCACCATCCCGTAGCAGCGGACGGTGGCGTAGACGAGGAACAGGACGCCCAGGACGCTGAGCACGGCGACGGTGGCTTTCACGGCGGTCTCGCTCAGGTGAGGGCTTGGGACTTCCTCCTCCCTCAAGGCCTTGATCCGCGATCGGGTGAATTCCGATCCCTCGAGACTCTCGACGCCGCATGCCTTCTTCTGCCGGTCGTAATCCTGACCCGGTCTGCACGAGCAGCGCTTGTCGATCGGGCTGCAGTGCATCCCCGGGTCCAACGCCTCACAATCCGCGTCCTTCGTGCATTTCCCTCCCAGCTCCTTCGCCCGCGTCCCGTCTCCCACCGCCTCCTGCCCTCTGGCCAGGCCGAGCAGGACGAGCACCAGAAAAGCCCTAAAGCACTCAGACGACATGTTTCACCTCTAACCAGTCGCCGGACTTGTATCGTGTCGGTGATTTCCACGTCTCTGGGCGATGCCCATCGATCTGTGTCCCTCTCCGTTTCCATAGATACCCCGCACCGCAGCGATTCCGACTCACCGATCTCCTTCCTTTCGTTTCGCCGTGGCCATGACAAGACGTTTGCTCATGAATCCAACCCGAGCACTGGTTTAATTTGAATCGTAGCCTGTTAATTAAATTGAGTTCCCGGGATTTTTTTAAAAAATTAGCTCACAAATCTCTTGTCGATGCTAGTAACATTCTTGAGAATTGAAAACATGCTGAGCAAAGCGAAGCCAAGTAGCGAATCACCTTTGATACCATCCTTGCGGTAAGTGGTACAGGAGAAATAATAAGGGATATGAAAAACAACAGGAGACTATTAGTCGCATTACGCTTCTTTCAGTTTCCAAATATTAAACATTTTAATCGTCAGCTTGTTGGACTAAATTTATTTGAAAACGAAGTATAGTTGGGTGCACATAGGGGGGATTTCGGCCCTCGCTTTTCAATATTTTCTATTTTGTGATAAATAGTTGTTCTTCTACTGTCAGTCAGGAAAAGAGGGGTGCTTAGATCGGTCATGCGAATAATGCATCTTACAGGGTGGTGCAAAATAAGTTGCCTCAAAGGTGGCAATCTCATGGTTCGCTTAGTCTCTTTAAACTCTTTCGTTCGAAACTACTTTTCTATTTTTGTGTTTCAACTACTCTGATATTCTATAACTATCATTAAAAAGAGGAAGATTCCTGAGTTGCAACAGGGAAAAATGATGAGTGCGATGAACAGCTAAGAAAATGTATATGATTGGATGGAGCTGGAGGAGTGGTGTTTAGCGCCATTACTAATTACACGAAATCAAGTAATTATGTCACTACTTACCATTGCAAAAAAAATTGTTTTCCCTCAAGCGAAAAAATTCCGAAAAACTCCAGATAGAAAGTAAAAAAAAAAATTAAAGAAGTTCTCTCAGAAACAAAAATATGCACGGGTCGTTATGAGTAAGTGGAAAGCCACCATTACAGGAGAACTCAAGACGCGTGATGCAGAGAAAGTGATTGGAATACGCAAGGAGGGGGCTCGAGCCTCCCCACATCGCCAGGCAACCCCTGCCCCCCCTCGCGTGTCACTCAATAGCCTTAATGCTAAGCCCCTCCCCTTCCTAAATTCCTGCGTATGCCGCTCCAGAAGCGGAACACTTTCTGAAGGGCAGTGTTTTTAGAGCGTCTTTATTTATTGACCATGTAGAAATGCGCCACCCGCTCTAATAACCAATATTGATAGTAAAAGATTCATTCAGAAGCTATATACAGGGTGATCCAAAAAATAGTGGACCCTAAGGCTATCGATGAAATTTACAGTACCACTGGATGAAATAAAATTTTTTATTACAGGTGAAACTCTACGTAGAGTATTGCTTCAAGTAAAAAAAATATGTTAATTTAGCTCGAGCAAAAAATCTCCAGCAATCGCAGCAAATTTTCAAAGTGGCCCCCACCTAGATCAATGCGCATCACAAATCACGATCTGATCAGATCAATGGCTGTTTATTTCGGCTTGTTCCAAGAGTTGCCAAGCTCCATTAACACGATCGATGAGGTGGTTTTCATCCCAAATGGCCTCAGTATACCTGTACACGTGTTGACACATTCTTTCCTTACATAATAAACCACCGGGCAGAAATGGAATTGTCCAAGTATCCCTGACTTCGTGCGACTGTCATGTGGCCCCCAAATTCACCTGATTTAAATTCGGTGGATTATTATGTAAGGAAATATTGTGTAAGCACGTGTATACTGAGGCCATTTGGGATGAAAACCACCTCATCGATCGTGTTAATGAAGTTTGGAAACTCCTGGATCAAGCCGAAATAAACAGAGCCATCGATCTGTTCAGATGGTGAGTTGTGAAGTGCATTGATCAAGATGGGGGCCACTTTGAAAATTTGCTGTAATTGCTGGAGATTTATTGCTCAAACTAAATTAACATTTCTTTTTTACTTGAAGCAATACTCTATGTAGAGTTTCACCTGTAATAAAATTTGATTTCATCCAGTGGTATTGTAAATTTCATTGATACCCTTGGGGTCCAATATTTTTTGGACCACCCTGCATATACAGTAGTCACTCGCTTTACACGGGTTCTTTTTACACGGATTCGCACTTGCGCGTTTTTTTAACGTCAAAAATTCAGTAAACTCAAACCGTGTATCTGGGAACCACACCCCCGTGCTTTCCAAATTATTTGTATCAATAGTAAAAAAAAATACAGTGCAAGTGCGAATCCGTGTAAAACGAACCCGTGTAAAGGGAGAGAAGCGTGTAGTTTCTGAGAAATCTTACTTTGCTTTTTCTTCGGAATTTTTCAAGTTCATGGAAAAAGTTTTCCCAAGCCACCGTATTACTTATTGACCTGCATTTAATGATGCCAATAGAGTTCCGCTATACCTGTACATACATTTATCCGACCATAAATGGCAGTCTTACGTTTTTTTCATCGAACGCACCATACTTCCTGTTGCAACCCAGATATCCAATTTAAAAAAGAAGGTAAAGTACGTGGAAAAAGCTGCAAGAGCATTTGAGCATCAAAGGTGGCACAAAGTTGTAAGTGGTGAGAGTATTGCCTCCATGGATTTTTCTCCATTAAAAAAAAATTATTGCGGCACCAGATGGCGTAGCTTATGAAACAGGAAGGCATGAATTACGTCACAAAATGGCATTTTCGCTAGAAGTAAAAAGAAATATTATTTTTATACGAAAGTGCTACTTTATAAAAACGCTTAATTTCCTCGATATCAAAATCTCCCCATTATGGGCGTCATCCTTTAATCCAACGAATTCGAATAAAAAGGAAAACGATCTGTCCAGCACACAATATTCGTTATTCGCGGCGAAAATGTGGCGACGTGCAAAAAAGTAGCATCCCTATGAACGCCTTTTCAATTTCAGAGGAATGAAACTCGTTTAAAAAAATTATGACATGGCTCCAAGTCCTATTGGAGATGAAAAATGTCAGTGTAAATATTCCACTCCTTGCCAGTAATGATAATCGTTTGGCCCCAGAGAAAAGGCTGTTGCAACAGCTGAACGCAATTTTCCTTCGTACTGATTTGAAAAATGTTAGCATTCTAAGCGGATTTTTAGGCATGGGAACGTTATTCTCACTATATTTTTCTCTCCGCTATAATTTCCCAGAACTATGGGATGGGCCAGGCGTACATTGAAACCCATTCGTCGCGTCAAGGTACAAAAAAAAAGGTTAATTACATCAGCAGGTCAATGGGTAACTAATAATTAATTACCGAATCAATTTAGCTTCTTGATGAAAAATGGAGTCTGATTTAGACTCTTGGACCTGAACATGACTACCTTGCACGAACGCAGTGCATGGCCCGCCCTGGAAAGTCAATTCCTTCCCTTCGATTTCTTGTCATACCATCCTGCGATGACGGCAAAATCGATGGGAAGCTTTCAAAATGGTATGTAATTTGTCGCCGATAGCATAAAGGATGACGTGCAATCGCGTGAAAAGAGAAGACTATACTCATCAGCGTTGATGAATACAAAATACTAGCGAAAATCTCCCTGTGTTTGGGGTGTGAATGATTTTCTGTATTTCTCTTTACATGGATCAAAAAGGCTTTTGAAATCGACAAGAGATATTTCTTTTTGTAACCAGCTCAATCGAAACGTCTTCATTTATTCACTCAAACCGCCAATAGCATTTTTGGAGGGGGGTGAGATGGTACTCCCAGGGAAATAAATTCCTGGCTGTGCCCTTGGGTATCATCCCTATTTTTACAAGCATAAAATTCAGTGGGGTCTCCTGCCTCCTGTCAATCAAGGAACTTGGGGTCTTGTTCTCGACCAAGATTCTATAAGCACTTTCTTCAATGGCTGAGATATTGGTGGTCAAGAAGCTCCAGTCTACTAAAACGTGACCAAAACTGGTACCAGAAGCCAGAACTGAATAAAACAGATCCAGTGTTTCGATATAACCAAATGCATTCTACTCCAGAGAAGGCATAAAAACATATGGCCTCTATTTCCACATAAACTCTCTTTATTTTAACTTACAGACTTCTTAAAGGGATCCCCAACATGATAGCAAGTGAGGTTAAAAAGGATCTCAGTTTGAGAAAACTGAATCTGAGATTTGCAGTCATGCAGACTTCAGTAATGCTAGTAAGTAACAAATTTCAATAAACACGTGTGAATCAGTGCCAAGCTACCTCCTTACTCACTGCATTTCTTCTGTGATCATTGTCCATCAATTCATCCTCCAATTATGCTTTGATTCTATGCTTTTGGGCACATCAACATGACAGATACCCCAGTGTGAGTGTGAATGAATTTACCCTGCATGGCAGTAAATTTATGAAAATAAAAATTGTTGCCATTGGAAAACTTTGTACTCCTGCAGAAAACCATCATTCGCTCCATGCACTTTGATGGAAGCAGTTTCAAACTGTTTGTTTGAAATGGAGAGGAAAAAGGAACCTCTCATCACATTCATGTTTGTGAATACTTCAGTCTATCAGGGGCACAACAAAGGTGGGAAGGAACACAAAATGAAAGAAAGAGTGCATCATTAGAAGCCAACCGTGTAAGGCATAAAGTCCCTAATGCACTCTTCCCAAAAGCCAGGCTCACCTTAGCACTCCCCAAACTCAGTTGGGTCCTTATTGAATCAGTTTCCACATTTTAAAATTTCTAGTTAAATCCCCAATCAGAATGGCCCATGAGCATAGAAGAGTAAGGATGTCTGAAAATGCAGGTCTGTCAATTATTTTGTTCACTAATCCAATGCTGGAATCAATACAGGATCAAAGATGAGTGCCACATTACAAGGTGGACCATCAAATGAAACATCACTGAACAGAAGTAGACAAGATGAAGAATTAACAGTATTCAAATAATATACTGAAGCATTACAGATGTTCAAAGTGGATGCAAAAAAAATCAAATGAAAGGAGGAATTCAAGAGTTAGCATGGAGTACAATAATGGCACACTGATACAGAGCTGCCAGAAGTTCTCCCTCCTTCAAAGTGCATTAACCCTTTCCCTAGTGTCAGTGTAGTTTTACATTGACATCCTCAAAGTGTTCTGATATCCCGGCCAGGAAAAGGGTTAAGAAGGAATGAGAGCAAGGTGGTAGATTAGTGCAGTGATCTTACAGTTCAATTGAGGTCTCCTCTTTTCTTGCTTACAGGGGCTTGGATGACTGTAGTTGAGCTAAGTGAGACCCAGCTATCTCATGTCAAGTCCCCTCTGTTTTGCCTCTCTTGCTATCAGAGTGGAGTATTCCTCTAACTTACATCAGGAAAAAGAATAATTACTACAAGACTAGAGGAAAGCAACAGAAGACAGATCACTGGATGTCACTCCAAGTACGGTCTTTGCCACGTTCCTCATCAAACGAGGGTTTTGTCGAGTAGTCCATGGTAGAACCAAACACAGCAACTTCAGGCCTGAAATGCGTGTTGGGGAGGACCAAGAAACCTCCATGCATCTTCATATCCTTTTGAAGTGCTGCAACGAACCCTAACAGGAGACCGATGACTGCACCTGAAAATGGCAGCTTCACTATGGACAGAAAAAAAAAATCAAAACTCCTTCTCATGGAGGAATGCAAAGAACTTCAGCTCTCTCCCTTTGTACAGAGCAAAAAGAAGCAGTCAACACAACAGACATGCAAATGACTCACATTTTGCTGTGTATAGAGCACCAATGCTGAGACCCCCAAAGAAGTGATTCCACTGGTCATCCTTCTCCCTCATATTGGTAGAGACATAAACAGTGGAGGCATACAGTGGGCCAATAGCAGCAAAAGGGATGAAGCCTCGTGTAAATGCAAGCAGACCCTCAAAACGTGTTTTGGGACGAGCATACATCAGTGCATTGTACATCCCAGCTGTTGCACCTACAAAAATTGTGGTTTCACTATTAGTGTCTCAGGTGAAATCAGAGGCCTGTTACAGGCAAAAATTCATGGGAAAACATTTTCTGGGAAAGAGCATTCTCATCACATAAGGGAGATACGCATGATCATTCATGAGTGACAAGATAAATAAATAAATAAAATACACAATTTTCTTGGTCAAATTGATCATGACTTGTCCAGTCTTGGGAAGATTTAAATATCAATTTCACAATGCTCCCATACAGTTTGGCAAAATAACCTTGTGTTTTTGATTATGCTTTCTTTCTCAAACCATTCAGGACCTAGCATATGAATTCAGCTGAAGCACTCAAGAAATCAGAGACCAATAATACAGAAATACTTCCTTTGCCAACTAGTTCTCATTAACCTTCACCCTTCAATATGGTGCCCACCCTTTACATCAAGGATTGCCTGTAGATGTTAGTTCATGCCCTGTGTCAGAGAGTCATCCTCATCCATTAAAAGGCCTGCTTGCTGGCATCATTTTTTTACCCACTAGTCACAAGAATGCTTTGACAGATTTAAGAAATATCCATAAGTACTATGTTGTATGCCTAACCTTTGAATGCTTGGCACTTCAAAAATCCCCCATGACAATGGTTTTTACCAATTACAAACAAAAACCAGCAATTAGTCTGTAAAACCACACTTGAAAAAAGCTTCCCGTGATTCCCTCTTTGGAGATGTGTTACTTTCCAACCTTGTCTCCAATCACATTTGATGTTTTCAGCAGGATTGAGATACAGCAAATTATCAGGTCCATTAGAACTTCCATCAATCAGGTTAAGCAGCATGTCACATTGTCATCCTGATAGATACAACTACCATCAGGAAATAAACATCTCCCTGTTTTAATCAAGACAAGCCTCTGTCAAGCCTTTGGGAATAAAACACCAGCACCATACAGTCTACAGTTATACCCTTGGTAATATCCTTCTATTGGTATAGAAACATGTGGATTTTAAATATCTCTCAAACTTGAAATACACCTCTCAGCCCCACTATTTTTTTTAATAGTAGGTCCAAGAAAACTGCCTTTGAGGAGTATTAGAGAAGAAAAAACAGTGGATTCTGCTTTATTGGGACACATTGGTTCCAGGTCGATTTGCCCCAATTAAGTGGCTGCCTCAATAAAGCGAACTTACCTTATAGTATAGTAAGAAACCCAGACACAAATGTCCTTTACTTGTGCAAAAAAAAAATTATGAGTCAAGAAATGTGCCCAATGTTGCTTGTTTCATACCCAAAAAAGCTTCTCTAAAGTTCCAATGTCAAGAGCACCATGTCTGCTATCACTGAACCCTGCTCAATAAAGTAGCACTGAAGGATGTCTACCAAGCGCTCTTACATGGACTTATGCGAGTCACCTTAGGCAAAGTCTCAGTCTCCTCATCTGCAACATTCCCTTAGCATTCCCCTTGGCAAGGATGTCCTCAACTATATCATCTTCAAATTCATTGCGTTCAGCAAAGCACGGTGTGTTTTCTTCAATGTTGATGTAGGCTCCTCCGTTAGTGACATTAATAATGGTAAGGCCCCCATCATTGGCTTATGTTTGCACCTCTGGTATGGAATAAAAGCCAGCTCCATGGAAGCTGTTTGCAATGGTCTCTGCCTTAACAGTTGGCCAGCTCTTGACCACAAAAGACATGGTGAAGAGGAGTGTAAAGTGGGCAGAAAAACCCATCTGGGACCAATGGCATAAGTTCATCTCGACCTTGCCCCAATAAAGTGGATTTTCGTCCCAAATATATGGCAAAATTTAAAAGCACTTGCATAGAAATGGTTCAGTTCCTGACAAAATGTCCTGGTTAACCGGCTGCTCCCATTAACCGATGGCCCAATAAAGTCGAATCCACAGTACCTCATTCCCTCCTCTCATTGGCAACCCTTGATAAGTGGCATCCATGCAATAGACAAAGTTTTCAAATGAAAAATTTCTGATGTATTGTTGAACTCTCTGATTTGTATGATAGAAGTACAGGGTGGCTCATAAGTCAGTTTACCCAAGGATTTCAGCTACACTAATTTTCTATTAACTCCTCAAGCTGACATTTAAATTGCTAATTGCCCATGGCAAAGTATATGTGACATGTACGGGTTACAGCAAACTGGCCTGAGGGGCTAACCTAGGTTTTTTTTAAAACTTAAGTTGCATGATATACTTCTTGTTTGCTTTTTAGGTCTTGTTGATGGCTACATTTGATTATTACTGAAATGGCACGCAGACTTACCAAAAAGCAAAGGAGTTTTACCATCGGTTCATTAATCAGGTAAACTTGCTTTTGGGGTACATTGCATTTAAGTCAAATTATGTATTACCACCTTTTAGTCAGAGTGGTCAGAACATCTAAGCACCCTTTTATCGTTCAGGTTTAGCCAGAGGAATGGTTGTTGAGACTTGCAACCATCCCTAAAGAGTAATTTTATGAGCCACCAAGTATTTAACTTCCTGAACTCTGCATGATAAGGAAGAACACAAGTTAAACTTGATAACAGCTAGCAACAGCTGCATTTTTTAAAATTCACATTAAACTTCGAAATCCAATGGCATGTGTCAAAGGGTTAAACAGAAACTGAACATTACTATAAAATGAATGCAGACCTAGCTACTGAGCAACAACATAACATTCTTCTCATTGGCAGTACACTTCATTTGAAACACAACTACCATAAGGAATTACCAGCAGCAAAGGAGTATCTCGAGCAGAATTTGAGCTTCTCCATCAAGTCATGGCCATCTGGGGTGTCATAGTAGTCGTACTTGTTGATGTCAAGAAGGCGAAAGATTGCAAATCTTGTGTCCACTCCAATGGATTCCCGAGGGGGATTCATCAGCAACTGGAGCAAGGGTGCCCTGAGGGGTTTTTTTTTCATCTGTTCCTCATATTTTTCCCTCAGTTCTCTAACATGTTCCTCTTTCTGTTCAGGGGTGAGATTTAAATCCCCTTTCATCTTGTATCTCTTCAAGATCACCCAAAATTCTGAAAAAATTTAAAAATGGGAAGATATAGACAAAATATATTTTTAATTAACCCAGACTTACAGTAATCTCCAATACTGCTTATAAGGCAGGCAGAGGCCTAATAATGCAATTTTAGCATTCATTTTGTTCTAGGAGAAATAATGAAGTATGATAAGCTTAGGAAAAAAGCATCTGAATGTCAGAGAAACCAAACAGAGCAGAGCCAACAACCGATTTATATCTGCAACTGATATATTGGTTGATCTCTCATTTTTAAGTCTGGTAGGCATTCATATTGAATTTTATGTTCCTTATGAGGATATTTCAATGTCCAAAATCCCCTTCATGACTCATAATGATGCTGGAAATGATGGGTTCTGAAGATCACCAGAAGTCTTAACAAGCCCTAAATGCTCCTGAACCCCCTTCATACCTAGTGAGCTACTTCTTTACTTATGCTGATTTTGACTCAGTATCTAGTCATTCAAAAACTCTAGTCTCAATTCCTCCCTTGCATCCTTTCATACTTTGGCTTTACCCTGCTGATTTCCAGACACTTCCACCATTCTCCTCAACTCAAATGATTGCCTACAAGATCTCCTAGAAATTGGAAATATTATGGAATAGGCTGTATCCCTACCACCTGGCTGAAGATAGCCTGTGACTTAGATGAGCCGCTGCACACCCTTTGAAACTGATCTTGATTTGAAACTTGATTTCTACCTTCTTGTTTTCTATTTCTGATATTGCCAAAAATGAACCATTTTTCGAGAAAGGTGGTTTTAAAGAACTACCACTTTCCTATTTCTGTACTTCCTACCATTAACGATGCTGTCACTGAACTTCCAGATTCAATCATCCATGCAAAAATGTAACAGTAGTCTGCGTTGACTTCTCCGAAGCATTTGGCACCATAAATCTAAAGATAGGTTTATTATGTGACTGCAGCAATCTCTCATTCATCCCGTTCAGGGGTCTTAAGCACTCATAATGGTGCTCCTCCTTTGCTTTCTCACATTGTTACATCCACTTCTACTTCCGATTAGAATATAAAAACAAACATCCACTCCAACCAGGCCGACGCCATATTGTGTGCAGTGTAGTACATTTATCGCCTTTCTCAGCCCTTAAATGAACCGATTCAAAATAAACTGAGAATAATTAAATAGTGCACCTAAACAATTTTTGAAGGGGAAAAGTACTCTTTCCGCTAAATTCACTCATTGCTTGAACATTTTTAAATATTATACATTGACAAACTGCTGCATAAGAATGCGGTAGGCGGCAACCGATGCGCTTATGTGTAATTATGGAGTCACAGAGGATAGCCATGAGGGCTTCACGTCTTCGGGTGCCGGGTGGAGTATTCAGACGCATTTCACCCGTCGCTTTCCTTCTCTGCAGATTTTGCGTAGTTTTTTCCCTTATAGCTTCTGCGTCTTCTGACGTTGATCAGGGACTCACAGTCTCTGTTCCACCGGGAAAACGAGAGTGCTTCTATGTGACCGCTAAAAAGGGTCAGATATTGGACGCAGCTTACCAGGTTTGGCAGTCACGTTTCCGTCTTCATTCTACTCATTATATTTGATTCTGGTAATCTAGATTATGCGAAACTGATGTTTTTTTTTATATGATTAATTAAGATATGAACTGACCTATTCCGAAAATAAGCCTTGAGCTAGCTGGAATTTTTTTTAGCTTAGAATTATTTATTTATTATTTATTTTTTTGCTTTTGGGAATAGGTGATTGATGGCGGTCAAGGAGACCTGGACATTAGTTTCGTCATTTTGACTCCTGGTGGCCAGCCATGGATCAGGGATTTCAAGAAAGCTGATGGGACACATAGGTAATAGAACTTTCCTTCAGATTCATCAAGAATGGAATGATGGGAGTAGTCATGCACACAGGATATCATCATCCATTTAGCTATTTGCTCAAGGCAGTCTGTCTGTTCGTCATGTATGCACATGGGAAGGGGAGAGGTGCCCTCATATCCATAATATCTCTGTAACTTGTGAGAGCTGGTATCTCAATGGCTTACAGCTTAGACTTCTAAGCTAATAGATTCTTATGATTTGAAGGCCCAATTGTTTAAACTTATATAAAAGTGGAGCCATGCAGCAGCAGGGTTTCTAAAGCAGGTGGGCCAACCCAGGGGGCTTGCTGGAATAAGTGCCAATTCCATATGGAAAAATCATGATTTTATGATAAATGGGCATATATAAGGGACAAATATGGTACATCATATATAATATGGTATGAACATATATGAGAAAAAGTATTTGATCATCTTATTGAAACAATGAGTATATGATCATATATGGCATGGCCATATAAGAGTTTTATAAAAAGCATGTATATAAAGGAGATGGAGAAGTAGATAAAATACTTGTATGGTTATAGTATGCCTATCTAGTATATAGTGGGACATATATGTCACAGCTGATAGACATAGTCAAATCAGGTATGAAACATACATGAAGTCATGTTACTTTCAAGCAGTGAAGGAAAATGTTATTTTCCTGCAAACCTGAGATGAAAAATCTGAATTTCCCAGGAAGGATATGCAAGCAGACTAAGCAGGCTTGGCCGGTCCTGTCCGCCTGTGAGTCTCTGTTCCTGCAAACCTCGTTCACAGGTTTGCAAGGGTTTTCCTAACTTGCTCACAAGTCTCCCCCTAATGTAAAAAGTAACTTCAGAAACTAAGCTGAGAATTGGCACTTCATCTGTCACTTCTGTAGAAATACGAAAACCATTCACTTCCAACACAGCACAAGTACATCCTGATGATATCTCAGAGATAAATAATAGGGACTTCTCAGTAATATCAAAATATCTAGGTGCCTTTCTTTCTGAAACAGGCTCATTTCCTGCCATATGGGACAACCCTTTATTTTTAAAGTGTTGTCCTGTATGGTATTCTTTGATAGATGCCTAAAAGCAGAGGTTGAATATGTTCTGTAACATGGTAACTTGGGACAAGTCATCCAGTTGGAGACATCACTGGCATGTCACCATGCTGTGTGGGTATGATTATACTATATAAATTGTTTTCAGTACCTTATGCATATGGTATATATATTTCTAGCAATATATTTTGTTATGAAAGCATGCATGCATGTTTATACAATATATGAAAGTCCTTCATAAATATATCTTTAAACCAGGTACATCATATATGTAGGAGCCCATCCCTCAAACCACAGAATTATGTGATACAGTATATGTATGCTCCCCATCACAATTCTGAATGAGTGCAGGTTTTTATCCAGAGCAGAGAAAAATGCATTGCAGTTAGAGCTCTCACAGTTTTGTGAGAGTAATCATGACATCACTGTTGTGGGATGGTCAGTTTTTGATTCAGTTGTTGATCATTGTGGATGGTTGCTTTTTCTGCATCCAACTTTCCCAGAATATTTTTTTTATTATATAAATAATGGAAGCAGGGGGGGGGGGGGGCAGTCCAATGTTGCTCCTATGTGACAAGGTTTCTATTTCCATCCATGGTCTTTACAGGGTGTTTGTATTTAAACACAACATAGGAATATTTTGACGCCTGTTTGTGAAGTTCGGAGCTTGCCTTATAGTTTACTGGGTTGCAGATATGAAAGGAGGAAATCTATCTCTGGTGTGTTTTCTTGCAGATATGCAACCCTGTGAACCTTATAGCATTCGCCAAACTCCACCTACAGGCAGCAAAATATTCCCTATGTTACATTTAAATATGAACACCCTGTATATAAGCTTGTGTTGAGCTCTCATTTTTTGCCATTGCATTTGAATGTATAAGAACATTGTACTAGTACTAATATGCCAGTCTTGAAATGTCAGGGTGGAGGAAATACCTCATACCCAGCTTTACAGCTTTAAACAAATGTTATTTGTACCTGATATCAACCTTCATTTAATAAATATTTTGCAATTGTTCATTTATTATTCAAATGGGATGAGGAACTGATGAGGGTGTTAGGGGAAGGAGAACCAGTGATGAAATGTGAGAATAGTCATGGCTTAAACCTGTATGAAGATGCGCTCTGTCAGCCTGGGTGCTGTGGAAATATATTCAGTCATTAGGGTTTTAAATGTCTGGTGTAGATTATGAGAGTCTCCATCAACAGAACATCAGGTTTGGAAAGTCTGATATCATTGCTCTCTAATGGCAATGTAGGCATATCTGAATGACAGATGATTTTGGGGGTATGAAGCAAAACAAAATCACTTGTGTATATTGTAGAATTGGGCAAGATTAGAAAAGGGATATTTAAAATTGAACAATATGCCTTTGACATGTTTTCTTAGACATTACCCTTTAATCAAGAAGTTGAAGTTATTGCTGATGATTTCCAGAGCCATTTTTTGTCTGAAAAGGCCAACTACCTTTACCAATTTTTTTGCATTTTAATTACAAAATTATAAGCCTTTGGCTTACAAGAAATCTCTTTTCAATAGACATTGTGGTGACAGAAAAGCAATCAATATACCCAATTTGTGACTTTTGATGTATAATGTTTGAGAGGTACGGGATGGAAATCTTGTGGTAGGTCATCACAAGAAGTTTCTTTCTGTTGTAGGTATTTAATAATGGCCCAACTGAACAAAGAACAGAGAGAACTCATCATGGAATAGCACTTGCTAACAAAGTCACGAACACAAGATATTTTCATGATCTAGCAATTACACAAACGCCAGGCATGATTGACAAAAGTTGAATGTATTGTATGATATGGGACTAAATGTTATTGATCTTGTCTGGTGTGTGTGCAGATTCTTCACAATGAGTATGTCTATTGTATAATTTTTTAACAGCCAGTGTAATTTTGATACCATCTCGTGAATGGTTTTCACTGTTGGTTGGTGTTTTGTTGGAAGCTGTAGGAGAAACTGCTGTGGCACAGGGTGGGTGATTTTATCTGTGTGCTGTTCCATGATGAATGGCCTCAGCTACTTGTACCATCATTATTCATTACAATGTTGTTCCAGTAATGATGAAGAAGCTGTGTCACAGTGATTGCTACTTTTTAGATTGCACCTTGTGCATCAAGAATCATGAGTAGGGCATATTGAGTATCTACTGAGAATCACCCTGTACAATTAAAATACATGGTCTTGAAGATGACACCTGAATTATTATTGCCCTGATAGGTTATTGGATGACAAAGGTTTTTTTTTTTTTCAATGAAGCAAGGCATTATACAGAATGAGACATATTAATAAGTAGATGATATAGCAAATGTCTCCTTTCTTTTTACCCTGCCTGCACTTCTCTTGCATGACTGGTATTGTTTTGTGATATGAAAGGAATCTAAGGGATTCTCATGGTGATTAGTCTTTAATACTTGTGCTGTTCTGAAGGAAAGGCATATAAAATGTCCTACAAGTCACAAAAAGTGGAGTGTGAAGAGTTTCTTAACACTCCACACTCCACTTTTTTGCAAATCCATGCTTGTTGAAAGAATTTGACAATTGAAGCATGCAAATTATGAAACATTTTACTTTTAAGCTTGTCCAACCAAGTACAAGATCCAGCATAAAAGCATAAATCCTTCCATCTGGACAACCAGAGAGAAAAGTGGTGACTAGGAATTTGAATAGTCTCATTTCTTGTATTGAGATCAGAACATACTGACTTCTAGTCTGTCCTGTTCAAGCAGAGGGGGGGGAGTATGAATGGCTGCCACTTTGAACTGAGAAGAAAAAGTATGTAACCAGCTGGTGGTCAAAGTTTTACCTTTAGAATACATAAAATCCTTGTCACAGTTTCAGTTTGAGTACTGGCGTGGGTCACTTGAACACTCATGCATGAATAACATCCCTTGCACGTGTCCAAGTCAAGTGAAAAATAATACAGTACACTTGGTTATCTGATTGGTTGCTTATGAGCTTGGGAATTCAGAATTACCTACATCTCATCTTTTTTCCCCTCAAGTGTGATATTGATGTGGGAAGATGAAATTCAGCTAAACCAATTCATCCTAGATGCTGTTTATAATTTTGACTGCATGTATGCAGTTCTAGAGATTATGACATCATTTGGGTTTTTCTTTTAACAAAGTAACCCAATTCCTAATGTTTAATACCCAGGAAAGTATAAATCACTTTTTATTGACAAATTTTCTCAGTTTTCAGTAATGAAAATTCTTTATGATTTAGGCAGGAAGTGACAACAGAGGGTGACTATGGCTTGTGCCTGGATAACTCCTTCAGTCGCTTCAATGCAAAAGTGGTGTATCTGGAAGTGATATTGGAAGATGATGATGATGATGACAGTCAGGACAAAGATTCCCCATTCTCCATCCCTGGTCTAAAGGAAGAATTAGAAGAATATCAAGTTACAATAGCTGAGATTCAGGTTTGCATCATTCCTGTTTTTAGACTTAATGAATGAGCTGTGATTGATTGTTGAACATTGTTGATGCCAAGCAGGCAACAATGAATCGAGTGAAGACCCACTTGGCAAGGGTGCGTCACATGCAAGATCAGCTGAGAGCTTTTGAGGCAAGGGACAGGAATGTTGTGGAAGCAAATTTCTCACGAGTCAATAGTCTGTCCCTCATCCATGTCTGTGGTCTAATCTTTTCAGCTTTACTTCAGGTGAGCAGTTCTGTTCCACTTCTTTAGTGTTTCATATTGATTTTGTAGGAGCATTGATAATGTGATATTCCCAGGTGGTGATGTTGAAGAGTCTCTTTGAAGAGAAGTCCACCATCAAGAGGCTTTGGAAACGCTTTGTGTCTCATTAATGCAGCCAAAAATGTCTGACCTAGTCCTCTTCTCCATCTTGGCCAGTTGACTCTTCTCGTGTTGATACCTTCTGTGATATGTTCGAATTGGGTGGGGTGTCATTTGGTCTTGGTCACCATTTCACCTTTCTTTTTCCTTGGCAAGCAAATATTTTGCTCAAGCAATAAGCTGTCTAGCATGAATGTGTTGCACATTTTTCAAAAGTACTCAGGGTCTTTCTCCTCTCCTGTGCCATCCCTTCAAGGTTATTTGGTGAAGTTGCATCAAAGGACAGGGGTGGGTGTGTGTGTTAAGTGCCACTTCAAACAGGAGTCATCAGTTCAATGGTGTAACTTTTTATTAGTGTGACTAAATCATTCTTGTGTCATTGATTAGTACAATCACTCCACAAAATGATGAAAAAATAAAACTTGGGTATACTATACTTGGTCCATGAATGTCTGAAGAATGATGACATTGGGTGAATGGAAAAAAATGCGAGGAATATTGTTTGTGTGGATGTGTCAGGCAACGGTGTTAGTGGATTTTCGTGATGGGGAAGGGCTTGCAGGGGGTGGAGTCCTTGGAGGTGGTGTGATGGCACTCCTTCCTGGAATCTGGCCTCCTCTTGACCGCCTCATTCGCAGAGAAGAATATGGCGAGTTTCCTCGAGAGAAGTTCATGTGGGCATATAAGAGGACCCCAATGTCCTTGTGGCCTGCATCCATTGCTATCTGAAGGGCTGTGCTTCCATCCTGCATAATCAGTATTTCAATTTTATTGTTATAAAAATAAGTAGTGAAGGGATGCCTGCTCTTGATGACACTCACACTGTCAACCATGGATGCGTCACAGTCCGGCTGTGCCAGGATGTAACGCACGATGTCCAAGTGTCCATGTTCAGAGGCACACATTAGTGCAGTGCTCCCATCAGCATCTTGGATGTTCAAATCTGCTCCAGCATCAATGAGCAATCGAACCATATCCAGGCGACCATGACTCACTGCCAGCATTAGGGCTGTTTGCCCATGCTGAAAAAATAAGAATCGAACACTGTTTATTAGATCATGAGAAGGAAGGAAAAGTTTTGGTGAGATGATGTTACCTGGCTGGCTTTGATGTTGACATCCCCAAGACTAAAGAGACGACGAACCACATGGCCGTGAGCATCAGAGTCTAGGCGTGCAAGTGCAACCAACATGAGACAGGTGTACCCAGCCTTGTTCTGAATATTCACATCACAAACTTTGGAGTCAAGGAGCACTGAGACAAGGTCAAAGTTCCCATAAGATACTGCATAGTGCATGACAGTGTTTCCCTGAAAGTCAAAGACATCAAAATTATTATTCTATATCCAACCTCCAAAGAATGGGTCTCATTTTAAGACATGAAGACATACACTGGGATCAATGAGGTTAACAATACGTCGCAAGACTTCATGAGACACCTCTTCAAACACATCCATGTAGTCCTCAACTGAGTGAGGGTCTGAATCTTTTCTTCCAGCAACCTGTAAAGAATTTCATAAGACATGAATCTTAAGCAGACATTTGATTTTGGGTGGGGCCCCACATAAAGGAGATGTCTCTTGAGTGCCACATATGTACAGGATGCCAGTGGACAATACTATCTTGCCTGGATATTGTGGCATGAAATCTTCCAAAGGTGGCATTTCTTAAATAAACTGCCATGTTGGCAGTTTATTTAAGAAATGTCACCTAGGTAAACCAACTTTCTACTTTCAGTTGAAAGAATAACTTTCTTGGTGCTTTGCTTGCAAATCCACAGAGAAACAATTAGAAGAATACCTGCATGATAATCAAGGAGGGAAGAATTGAACCCATGCCACAATGCGAGTCCTAGTGCAAAACACAACTGGTATCTTACGAGCAAACTTGACTTTTTTGCCAGCTGCATATTCACCATTTGGTACATAGGCTCTTCAGTGGACATAATTTCCCAACAGCATTAAGAAAAATGTCGATATACAGAGATGGACAAAACAAATATCAACTAATAATGAATTATTAGATAGGCCCATTAGTCCACTTAAACAACTCCCTAAGAACTTGCCCTTGGATGAGCATGCAAAAATGCCTTGTCTTATGGGAAATTTTTGCTTACTAATCATGATAGAAGATCTCATACTCAAACACCATGGAGATAGAGATATGTGAAACTAACCTGAAACCACTCCCTCTGAATGACAGACAGGGGGGTGGAAAGTGCCGATGAAGACGTCTTGCCAGGGCGGGTCATGGAATCTTTCAGTACCTTCAATGCCCCCATGAGCTCCTTGCTAGGCTCTTTCCTGGAAAACAGATATGCATGGGAAGGAAACATGACCAAAGGGAAGTTAAAAGGAACTTGTCAGTAATACCTGGGACCCCTTGGGAGCAACTCTCCACTCGGATGAATGGGTCTGAAGAGACGAGGGGAATGAGGATCGAACTCCGAATCACTCTCGGATCCACTCTCTTCCCTGCTCCCAACATGCACCACGCTGTCATCAACACATGACACATCAATCCACTGCAAGGATTTCCTTCACAGACAGGCATGTGAACTGAAATATCTGACATACCCAGAGGTCAAATCTTCAAATGCCTTGTTTACAATGCCACATGCTTCCCTTCCTCCTAGAACTTCACTCCTCTCTGCTCTCACTTTCGCTTTTCCAACATCCTGGGATCTCTCACCAAGCCCTTCGGCACTGGAAGAACGCTGAACACGACCAACATTGTTAGGGCGAACGCGATCTGAACTGGCTGACCGGACCACTCCGGCAGTGGAACGCCGCTCAGCCGATGGGGAACGCTGGCTTGCAGTACGTTGCATGAATCCACTCTTCTTCAGTCTTGGTGGGACTTCAGGTGCCTTGCGGATGGAGTGAGGGGAACGCTGGGGGATCTTTGACTCTCCTGTTGGCCTTGGAATGCGGGAACTTGGGACAGGTGGCAGTTGCTGTGGACTTGATCCTGGTCCTTTAGTCTTTAACATATCCTCCACTGCACTTTTGATCTGCCCCTGACACTTATCGCATGCATGCACCAATCCCTTCTCGCCTGACTCTGCCTCTGTATTGATGCCCTTCTCTTCAACACTTTTTTCCTTCTTTGACACTGCTTCCAAAGGATCTGTCTGAGAGGATGTGTTTGTGGTGCATGATGGTCTCACAAGGAGCATGGAATTTTCTTCTGTTCCAACGGAAATGTCTCGGGTGCGAAGACTAGCAGCCATGCACTTGGGACAGGGGGGAAGAGTGTAAATGGATTCTTCTCCTGTTCCAATGCTTCTTCTTAAAGGCATGTTTTCCCAGCTGGCTTCCATGCATACCTGAACCCCAAAGTCATCAGTTCTCACTTCCTCACAAGAATTCTGATCTAAGGTTTTCTTATCAAGGAGACATGACATAGATTCCACATCGTGTTCCAAGCTACTGATAGCATCTCCAGTGAGATCTGTCTGCAGGCCCCGACTGGAAAAGAACGGTTTGGTCTCTTCTTCCGTGTATATGGTCTGGACTCCCACGACACGAGTCTCCTTCACCTGAGACCTCTTGAGGAGAGCAAATTCCTCTGCCAGTCTATCAGCACTCTCGCGGATCAGAGCTTCATGCTCTTGGACGCTCAAGATGTCTTCCAATGTGTTTGTACTCCTTGTCCTTGTCCGTACTGCTACAGTGTTGGTGGAGTTGTCAACTGCGATGGGAGGGGGATGGTCCTGAGTCTGATTCATTCGTGTGACTGTGGAGCTCTCACTGAGTTGTCTGATGAGTGTCTCATAACGAGACTGCTTAGGTTTCTCTTCATCAGTCATGGTTTCGACAGACATCATCTTCACCTGGGATCTCTGGAAACACTTGAGACATGGCTTGCTCTTCACTTCTCTCTTTTTCTCAGGTTCTTGCCCTTGAGGGAGGCCAAGAGTGAGCGTCCCTCGTGTCTTCACCGATGGACCCACATGAGACACCCCAACGTCACGGGTCAACACACTGCATGTTGTCCCCACATCCCTCAGTCCTTTTCCATCCTCCTTCTGTTTTCTTCGTAAGGAACCCATCCTTTCCAGAGACAATGACTCTTTCTCACATGGCTTTACCTCGGTCTTCTCCAACTTCTTCTTCTCCTTCTGCTCACCTGGGAACCAACCTGGTGCCAACACAATTGAAAGGAGGATTTTATACGAAGGAAAATATATACTGACTTTGATGCTTCTTTAGTTTCTGAAGTTGAAGGAAGAGTTGACGTCTCTCCTCCCTCAAGACAGACAACTGGACGTGGAGTACTGGGATTGATTTCACTTGCTCCTCTAATTCTTTGGTTCTTCTTAGACTGTTTGCCATCTGCTCCCGAATCCCCTGAGAGAAAAAGAGAGATGAAATCATGACATGGAAAAGGGGTAACAATAAAAGAGCAGTGGCACAAGAGGCACACAGGACAAACCTGGAGCATTCCTTGACTCACACCAGATGAAGCAAAAGATACCACACTTGCCCGATCAATTTCACCATCAACATCTGAGTCAGGGATTTTATTGGAATTTCTCTCTCCTAGCTCTTTAATTGCCTTTTCATCATCAGAGGGTGATGTGATGCTGTCTAGCGATGTGTTGGAGCCCAATAGTCCCAACCTTCCTTTCTCTGCAAGAGAGCACCACACAATACTCACAAATACTTTTGGATGTTTTGGAATTCAGATGCAAGGGATATATAAAATAAAATAAATGAAAATACATATAAAATGCCAACCTGTTTGTGGGTGGGTTGAAGACAGCAGATCCAAAGAGGGGGGAACAGCCTTGGAGCGATTGAGAGAATTCTCTCGACTGCTCTGCTGGGAACGTTCATAGGTCTCTTCAAAGTCCAGCATGGCATCCTTGAGGGCATCTTGAAGGACCTCTGGAGTGCTCAAGATATCAGGAGGAGGGTGCTTGGGAACCAAAGAAGGGGTCCATTTTGGGATTGTCATCTGCAGCCCGAAACAAGGAGGAGAAAAACCATCCCATCTCAGTGCATGGCTTGTGCTAGGGTTTCTGTTCATGCCATCCATCACACAATGATTTGTATATTTACTTCCATGTTCTCCCCTATCCCTATCTCTACCTAGCAGATACCATCAGTCATACCTACAGCCAACAAGCAAGTTTGAAGGATGGCTCATCTGTATATGGATAATTCTACGTCAACTCATGCTCAGCATGCATCTCTAGGGGGAATTGAGTGTACATTTGAATGTTTCACCTTCATGTGTGTAAGCCTGCAGTGAATCCAGAAGTGCAGAGAATACAAAGAACAAGGGGAAGAGAAAAAGAACAACAATGAATGTTCCCATTGAAACCCATGAACTCTTTGGCTTATTGTTATTGTCACAGTTGTCCACAACAAAAAAAGGCTTACATCAGGAAGACTGAATTTCCTTTGGACGGCCTCATGGCTTGGAGAGTCTGGAACATGGCCAAGCATGACCTCGAGGGAACGGCGCTGTTTCCGTTTGTACTTCTTTATCTTGCGTAATTGCTTGAGATAAGCTCCGCTCGATAGGGCTTCGCAATACCTCACAAAGTCCAGGTCAATGTGATAGCCATATGGACAGGACACTTTCTTCGGCACCACACGCCCATTGACTGTCAAAAAATCATACAAATCATTAGAAAACTCCTGTTTGTAGAGTGAAACAATAGAGTTGTTACAATAGAGCTATTCTGTATAAGAGTGATATGATGCAAAAGTCTGTTAAGTTCACCTCGGGAACTCAGGCTGGTCTTCGTGTCGGACAGATCCATTCCTTCGTCCGTGTTAGTCAACATCATCACTGGCCAGGGCAGCATCAAAATGCCTGTCCTCTCTGTTACAGCAGGGCATCAAGAACACATGACCCTAGGACAGGACATTTTTGAAGCTGCCTCTGGTGAAGGAAAGCTATTAGGTCCTGAAAGCAGAATGTTACCAATTCATCCATAAATGCTTGGTTTACTATCTAGCTATAAATAATGAAATCCAAGTATCTTATCATTTGCTGTAGCATGGTCCACACAAAACTCTATGAGCTTTAAACTCAGCAATAAGTGCAAACATCGAAGTCAGTAGACCCAGCAACTTTCTGGCCAGACAATAAAGAGTGAGTAAATTCAGATAAACACTCCAATCAGCCATTTTTGGCATTCCTATCATACATGCCTATAAGACATTCTTTTAGTGTTGCTATAAAATTAATGGATTAAGCTACTCCCTCAAATACAAAAATGACCATTAATTTTTGGAAAATGGTAGTCACATACTTTAATACAAGAGGAATTTTTTTTAGTTGAAATACATTTTTATTTTATATTATACAGGGTGATAATAAAGAAAGTTTCCTAGTTCAACATATCAGATCTTATAAACAGTTAGACACAGGATTGTGGAAATCAATACGCATGCTACAGGGGCTATGGGGAAGACAATGATGTATGTGTCATGTGTTGCCACCTCCCTGACAATGGCATCTTTAAGGTGCATGGGGTCCCTTGGTACATGCAAGACTTGAGTAACTCCCACAACCAAAAGTCTGGGAATGACAAATGTTAGCTTGTTCCCCAGACCTAAAATCAGCAGACTCTTGATTGTGGGGGTTACATGCTCATTCGCAGTCATCTTTCACTTTGCATATATGAGTATGTTTCCAACTGGTACTTCAAATTTCACAAAAATTTATTGTACCAAAGCAATCCTACCAGCAACTATTGAAAAGAAGCTAGACATTGACAAGAGCTCTTGTGGGTACTGGAGTGGAAGACACATCCAAACACCATCCCTACTGTTCATCAAGACCATGTCAAACTCTACTTCCATTTAAATTCATTAATGAGGCTGATTGTCTATTGCAGATGGTTTTCATGAGCTTATTCCCAACCAATAGTAGATGAATCAATGAATGTCAATCCAGAGAATTTTCTCTACATTCCTTTAGAATTTCTCTTGTTCTGTCAGCCTGAGTCTGCAGGATATGACAGAAAAGATCAACAACTTTGAGTGTATCGTGTTTGCTGCCAGAATTGCTGAGGATGTAGCATGGTTTCATTTATTTGAAAATCAACAAGGCTGCAAAAGAAATTAATTAATTCAGGTCAAAGTCACAAACAATATAATATCTATGATGAGACTGGAATTTGAAATGGACAGTTCCCTATAATAATAAAGAAAACAACCAAATTCTGGGTGAACTTAGAGAAAACTCCCTGGAATTATATTAATTGATTTATCTACTATTGGTCGGGAATAAGCTCATGAAAATCATCTGCAAGGAGCAACCAGCCCAATGAGACAATTTAAATGGAAGAGGAGCTTGATGCATTCTCAAAGACCAGGAGGGGCAGGGCTTGAGTGTGTCCTCCACTCCACTACCTGAAGAAGCTCTTGTCCATTCTCAATGTCTAACTTCTTTTCAATATTTGCTGGTAGAATTGCTTTGGCGCAACAAATTTGGATGACATTTGGGGCATCAGTTGGAAACATACTCATATATGCAAAGTGAAAGTTTTGCAAAACTAGTTCTGTTGTGAGGGGAGATATTTAGGATGAAAGTCATGGTCTTTTTTTTGCCATACCCTGTATATTACTTGATGCTTTATCTTTCAGTATAGAGAGCAATTTTTCTAAAACAGGAAATTTTCAAAATATATTTTTAAAATAAAATTAAAATCTTCCAAAAAAGCTTCAGTTTCCAAAAAAAATTGATTTCTAAGCAAGCTGTTCAAGAATTGGCTTCCATTGATGTTGTAGCTAAGTTTTAACTCTTCTGGTTAATTAAATAGGGAAATGAATTTTATGAATTTATTGAGAACCAGCAAACTGAATTGCACTAATTTTTATAATCAGGAACTAATCACTGTAGAGATTAACCAAATTGAAGATGGTAAATACAATATTTACAGTAGTTAGTTTTCAGCTGTTTATTTTTTATTATTAATGTAAATTTTTTTAGGGGAAGCTGATGCTCTTAACATCAGGAGCATCCATAAATTCTGAGTCAAGTTTATATAAACAGACCCACACACTGTCAGGATCGTGACAATTTCATGCTACTTCCATGTCAGCACACAAGGGGTTCCACCCCTTTATGTCATCATGACAGGGCAGCACAATGACAACCACTTCAACCATATATATTAATTTCTTCATCTTTCGAAATAATCGCGACTATATCAGGGGGTGTATTAGTCATCAACAAACAATATACTTTTTGCTTACATCTATACATATTCCAACTAGCTATGGACAAATTATTTCTATTCACCTTCTGACGAAGCAAAATATAAATTAAGAACTTGGTGGGATTTTGTCAGCGACCCAGTCTGGACAACACTTTTGAAGCTTTTCACGAAGTAACCAAGATCAACTTCTGCATGAGGCATTGAGAAATAAGGTCAGCGATTTCCTGATGGATGAAATTAACATCCAGTTTCTTGTCCGAGACTGAAAAAGCTGCACGAGAACAGAAAGACCAACTCAGAACCAAACGATGAATGAGGATTTTCAATTGCATAGGGGACGAGAAGGCATTTTCTTTCGATTTAAAAGTAACATTCAATTTTCAAGAACAGTAGGGAATTTTCCGGATTTTTTTTCGCTGGAAGAGCGACACGTGCGAGAAAAGAACTTCTGATCGGCCTCACGAATCCCCTCCTTAATGCATGTGAACCGCGCGATCCAAAAGCACACATGGCACAAGAGATGCGAAACCCATCCCGTCGAATCTTTGTTTTTGCGCCAGGAACCCAACACCTGATTCCGGAACTTCATCGAGCGCGAATGAAAGACAACTCTCTCACGACCCCCCACCCCTCCGCGAACCCAAAGCCGGGGGATCGCCCCCTCGTCCTCCCCTCTCGGGGGGGAGGAGCGGAGGAATCCTCCAGTGAAGGAATCTTCCACTCCTTCTGAAAGTGGAGGGTAAGTGGAGGTGGAGGGCGAGTGGGAGTGGAGGGTACGTGGAGGTGGAGGGCGAATGGGGGTGGAGGGTAAGTGGAGGTAGAGGGCGTGGAGGACTCGAAAGCAAGACGTCAACGCGTATGACAAGCCCAGATGCGGACAAGTCGGCCAGCTGAGCATCCGGGCTCGGGGAGGGCTGTGCCTCTCCCGGCCCTTCGCTTTCACTCCCGTCTCGCCTCCAGTCAAGTGTCGGCCAGTTTGCGTAACGAGGGAACGAGACGAGACGAAAGGCCTGCAAGACTCGTCTCGTTCGTTCCATTCCTCCGATCCGGTCGGAATGCGTGGAAACCTCTCCTGTCGCAACCCGTTCCCCCTTCGTTCCCTATTCCAACAGAAGGTCGCGTTCCGTATAAGCGAGCGAGAAAAAAACCGAGTTCTTCCAGAGCGTCTCGAAAAGACGTCGCCACGGACTGTCATCTCGCACGTCCAAATCGGCGCCTCCCATCCAAGGCCCCCCCCATAACAAACACGAAGAACAGCCGCGAGCACGGTCCGCGAACCGCCTCGGCGAACGCACACGGCCCCCACGGACATCTGCCCTGCGACGGAGTGCACTGACTCAGCCCCGATCCTCATCCAAATGCGCGAAGACACCCTAGAAGCTCGGAGGCGTTCCCTCCCACGGAGCCGGGCCCAGTCTCTCCCGCACACCTGTCGCTCCTCGCCAGGATTTCGCCCCGGATCCCGGATCCTCCCGCGACACCGAACGCACCGAAAAGACGCACCACACACGACACGACGAAGCAGGTGCTGGCAGCTGGATCCTCTCGCTTTCCAACCAGCTATGCAACGCAAGGACGAGAGATGCTGCGCTCCCGCGCAAGCGCATGCCCTCCCAGCCCTCCAGTCTCGACTGGGAGGCTGTCACGCTTGCACGCACGGAACATACGGGGGTTTCGCCCTTCGGCAAACGCACGGCAAGCCTCCCCTGCGTCTTTGGGATCCTCCGACGGGGATATCGATCTGGAACGATGAAAGATATTCGGAAACACGCACGGCACACGGTCCCCGTGCGAACAGTTCGAATTCTCGCGTACAGATAACGAGGGCGTGCACTGGCATCGCATTCCGTGGTGCAGAGAGATAGAGCCCCCACCACAGAAAATCGCGCCAAGCCCATACACGTACGACATCTGTTTAGAGAAGGAGGAACCGCATTCGGTGTCCACGTCCCACAGAGAGAAGACCTGTCGATCAGCCGAACGCCATATACGTGGCAGGATTGCGCTGCAATCTCTAGTGCATTACTTCACGTTTTCACCGTATCTACGGTCCTTTTCACCTTTCACGCCATACGCGAGGCTACAAACTTCATCTGTGAAACATGGGCTTGACGATTTCCAGTCTCCTCACGAGACTTTTTGGCAAGAAGCAGATGCGAATTTTGATGGGTGAGTTGCATGCCTCGGTTAATGCAAAACACGTGCCAATTTTCAGTAATGAAACCAGAGTTCCTTGTTGATGATGGTCTGAAATAATTAATGTTTCCCGATTCTAGTTGGACTAGATGCGGCTGGCAAGACAACAATCCTGTACAAGCTGAAATTGGGTGAAATCGTCACCACCATCCCAACGATAGGTGAGATTCGGTGTCTTAGCCTAACTTCACCAGAGGCTCAATCGTCTTGGGCCGTATCGCCTTGAATCCTTTCCTTCTCTCAAGGATTCAATGTGGAGACTGTAGAATACAAGAACATCTGCTTCACCGTCTGGGACGTTGGGGGTCAAGACAAGATCCGTCCCCTCTGGAGACATTACTTCCAGAACACTCAGGGTCTCATCTTTGTGGTCGACTCAAATGACAGGGAGAGAATAACAGAAGCTCAGGAAGAGCTTCAAAAAATGGTAGAGTGATGGGAGAAGGCCTAGACTATCAAACTGATTTGGCCTTGGCTTTGCATCATAAGCAACCAGCTCAGATTAGTAATAGCCTTAATTAGCATGTTATGATATTTAAAATTTTGACATTTTTGCAGCTTCAAGAGGATGAACTACGGGATGCCGTGCTCTTAGTGTTTGCTAATAAGCAGGATCTTCCCAATGCCATGAGTGCAGCTGAACTCACCGAAAAGCTCGGTCTCCGATCTCTATCCAGCCGTCGGGTGAGTTTTTGTATGATGGACCTAAATGCAAAGAACTTTGAAAGGTGGGAGTCATGTGCTTTTGACAAAATGGGAAGAAATCAAACTAAATAGATGTCTTTGTAGATATCTATTTTTTTTGCTATTGATCTGAGCAGTCTACCCCAATTGAATAGATTTTTGACCATGGAAGATGTGTGACAGTAACACCTTGCAAGCTATGTGTGACTTAGGGCCTAACATGGTACACCCCTCATCCTTCACCTAGCCAATAGTATGAGACGAAGTGGAGTGAAAGCAATGTTGGAGTTGGTGCATTCTCTGCTGCTCTGGAAGGGATTATGATAAACTCGTTTATCTTGCATTCCAGAATCTTAAAAAATAAGCATCCTTCCTCAGTCAAATAAAAGAGTGGTGCAACAGTTCCTGCTTGACTGTTACCCATTGAGGTTAAGATTCTCTGTTGACCTCTTTCTGCAATATGGTGTGTAACCATCCATGAAGCCTGGAACAGATGCTTAATGGACTGTTGTGGCATCAAAGCTTGGCATCTACTGGATGTGTTGTTTGTATCTTCACATGTGAAATGGCTGCATGTAGCCTGAGAAGAGCCTTGCATCATAAGGTTGCTTCTGAGTATCATGCTCAAAAAGAGGGCACAATGGTTTTGCCTGATTCTGTTGGTGATATCCTCCAGTTTATGATGCTGGTGGTGTCCTTGAGTGGTTCTTTCCTGCCCTGCATTGGGCAGGTGTGCTGGGGGGAGAATTAAGAATTGCTCCATACTAAAAGACTTGTCCTCTTTTACAACTGGGAGGAGTTGAATATGCACTTTCCCTTTTTGCACTCTGAAGATGGCCAAATGGAAGGTGAATCATGTTTCCAAGCTAATATAAAAAACTTGATCTCCTTGTAGCCCTGTAGGAAAGTCAAGGAGTTTTTTTATTTATACAGGTTAATGCTCAACTGTAAAGTATGTCAGCTCTTATTTCAGAAAAAGGTGTTATTGTGCTCCTTCCTAAATACGAAGCAGATTGACCTCATTTTAATTTGGTGTTGTATCCAAATCTTACAAGATGCAAGATTCTTTCACTTGAGCCAGGTTTTGCTGGAGAGTAATATGCAAAATTTGGTTTTCATCCATATTAGACCTGATCCAGAAAGTGGGCCATCTATTGATAATATTACAACGTTATTAATCACTCTGCACAGAATTCAATAAATTTTTAGCTGTTTGTGGCCAATTGATGTTCCCCCTCCATCTACCTTTGGTCTACCCCCTAGCAACATCATGTAGCTATGGGTAATACCATAACAGAATTTACCTTTACAGCCGAATGGAATTCAATAGACTTCTACGTGGCTGATTCTGACCTATAATAGATTATTCATAAAATATAAACATTTCTTACTGCTTCCACCTTAGATATGTCTGACACAAAGATTATATAAATGGAGGGGCCTCTCCTATGGCACGTGGTGCTGCACCCTTCCAGGTGCAGCCGCCATCTTACTGAAGTCGCATGAGCAAGGAGTTCATAGCAGACACATGGAAAGAGGGAGGACAAAGGAGGCAACTTGCCCCGGGCTATATGCCTGGGGACCTCCATGCTGGAACCCAACCAATCACACTATTCATTTCCGCGTGCGAGAATTCACCAAGATAGCGGAAGCATCTGTAAGTCTCAAGGCAGCAAAGGCCTCTCCAGAGACATCTATATGCACTCTATGGTCTGACATCATGAAGTCTAGCTGCCTGGTTTGTCAGTATTTTTATGTGGTGCATCAGAAAGAGCATGAGAGAGATGACTCATGTCACAAAAACTTCATATCCTTGTATACTTCAAGGGAAGAAACACTCACACATTGTCAGCAACTGATCATGGATCAGTTTGCATGTGAAAAATAGGTAATAAGTTGTTTCTGCATCATCCCATATAATACAGAATTCATGCTGGCTTCCCACCTGCAGTGGATTTGGGTCAAAAGTGAATGAGCTGAAAGTGTAATGCAGCTGTTTCATCTTGGGCATGATGGTAATGGAAAGAGGGAAATGAACTGAATTTGTTACAATCCATGGGAATGAACTGTCAAAATTTGTCATTGCATCCACTCTGAGGCTGAATCTTGCTTTCATGTAGAAAAAATTTATTGGTCAAGTAGCCTGTGTTCATGAATTTTACTGATGGCTCTTCCACTTTGCTTAACATGAATACATTATTGCAGAAGCAGATCTGCATCCAAAATTTGTGTTTGTGTTCTAGTGGTACATCCAGGCAACATGTGCAACACAAGGGCACGGCCTGTATGAGGGGCTTGACTGGCTCTCCAACGAGCTCTCAAAAAAGTGATAGAGATGGAAAACAGAGTCCGTATCATAATCCTCCTCCCTCGTTGCCTTACATCCTCTGCGCATTCCATTCTGAGTGACTCGTGGACGAAGCAAGGACAGGTGCAAGAAGTGTCAAGCCAAAGACATCGGAGAGATTCAGCTGTCAAATGCCTCTAGTGATATGTTTCTCTCTGCATGGCAGTGCTTCGCCGCACTGTGATCTTCAGTCAGTGTTTCTTCATGTTACAGACCGTATCTCTCAAGTCTAAGCAGAAATTCTTCGGTAATAGGGCATTCTATCCAGTTTCTTCACCCTACGTCTTCTTGGTTTTTTCCCTTTTCCCGGTCTTCACTTTTATTTTATGAGGGCAAGATTAATTTGAAATAAATCACCAATCTTAAATACATCCAACATCTCTTGATCACTATGGGTATTTATTCATTCTCTCTTAAATAGAACATGACACAAATCGTGATGAGCTGTGAAAGAACATGACACTGATTCCTTGTCACAAGGACTCATCTATTGCTTTCAGGTACGAAATAGAAATGAAAAAACCATTTCCACCTATTGGTATTGGCATGGAAAGAAACCGGTCGCTTCCTAGCCAAAGTTTATGTACAGGACAGGCAGAGGGTGTGTGTTTTGTGTATAAGCATGTTGACTAGGGAACGGACTCCCTTCCAAATGGCACCTGGATCCAAGTCTTGAGAGAAGGAGATAGGTAAAGATGAAAAGGTCGAGAGACTAGTGTCCCAGAGGTATTGAACGATTAGTGCCACCACACCTGTCGAGCTGTCTGATTTGAGATCAAGAAGAGATTTCCATAGGGGGGGGGGGGGGGGGTCTTTGCCATCATCAGTTATTCCCATCGTCGCTATAAGACAAGTCTTGGGCCTGGGCATCCTGGTCCTTCTCGAGATCCTTGCTGCGGCATCCCTGGGAGAGATCCTCCGCCTCCTCCCCCGGCTCGGGAGCGTGGGGATCCGTGTCCTCCCCGGAGAAGGGACTCTCGCGCTCGTACCTCCCTTCTTGTCCGAAGAACGACGGCATCCCTTCCGAGGAGGCTGGAGATCTGTTCTGCAGTCCTTCCTCCATTCTGAGCGGGGAAGAAAGACCTGCAGCCTTCCGTTGGGATCAGAGAAATTCGCTTTTGCGATCGGAAACGAACTTGGAATTGGTATCTTCGTCGTCCTGGTTGCCCTGGGACCTGTCGGTGCTGGGGGACGCCTGCGGCTGATGCCACGGCAGACTTCCTGCTCCGAGCCCCTCGCTCAATGCGGTCTGTTAACAAGGAAAACTCCTTTAGGAACGCTAACACCTTTGGGGTAACTGACTCGGGAATGAGGATCTTACTTGGAGACTCGCATTCAGTGCTTCACCGTACAGGGTCGGTACTTTACTCGACAGCCCACTGCTGTTCAGAAACGGAATTTCCGGTTCCCATCAAATCAAAAAAAAGGCCATAAATAGTCATAAATGGTTATACCTGGAGGTGGAGCAACGCTGAGGTCGCCTCTTGTAAAACTCCAACTCGTCCACGGTCCAAACGGCTCCCTTCACGTTCTCCACCCTCATGAAACACTTGTGCAGCGACAGGTTGTGCCTCACCGCGTTCTGTCGGGGGGCAAGACAACAGTGTGAGCGTCTCTAAACTTTTCTGGACCGCGGGGGTGTCTCTAGATAAAAAAGTTCGGTTCGACAGAGCAGTCCGTGTGCAAGGCTCACCTTCCAAGATGGAGCCGCACCTCGGGATCCTGAATTCTGAAAATATTCCAAGGATATGAGATTTGGTTGCCATGTCGTGGGGAGAGAAACGGACATTTCATTCATCTCCATCTACAAAATGCATCTAACATCCATGCTAAGCAGAATCTCTAACGACAGGGCATTCCATCTACGAATGGCAACCAAATGCCTATACAGTCGTCACACAGAGTGCTCTGCCAGAACCAAGGGGAGAGAGAAAAGAGGAGTGCGGTTGCCCAAAGCGACCTACCTTCCAAGTTGCCGCGTTGCGACGGAAGTAGCAAAAAGTGTTCTGGAACCAGTTGTAGATCTCGTTCAGCGTCAGCTGCTTCTCGGGGGACTCGATGATGGCCTGGGTGAACAAGGAACGGGTCTCACGATACCTGCTTCTGGTTGGGTTCTAGGAAAGGGCGCAAGGTCGCTCACCTGCCGGATGAGAGAAGCGTAGGTGAACGGCGGGCGAACGTCCGCATTCTTGTAGAATTCTCTGTTTCTTTCGATTTCTGGAAAAAAAAAGAAATATCGTGTCAAGATTTCGTCGCAGAATAAAACTGAACGCACACGAAGTCCCTCATACCCTCAGAGATGTCGATACTGGCCCGCTCGACGACCCGCCTTCTCAGAGGCTCCTCTATGCTCCCTACAACGAAAACCACTTCATGATCGTCGAGTCCCGACCGATCCCCCCCCCCCCCCCCCTCGACCCCTTCGACCCACCTGGGGGAATGAGCGACAGCGGAGTCTTATCGTTGATCCTCCGTCGCAGCGCCCCGCCACCCCCAGCGGACGCCGAAACCGGCGACGAGGAATGGAAGAGCGACGCCAGGGACGCCCTTGGCGGCGGCGGCGGCGGCGTCTGCGGATGCCCCACCCCCGCCCCCAACCCCACCGGCGGGGACCCCCCGCTTCCGGTCACCGGGCTCAGAAGACTCCCTGGCAGGGAGTACTTGAGAAGATTCGGGGAATCGGGTGTCTTCCCTGCCGGCCCCGTCCTCGGACTCTGGGACGACTCCGAGTTCCCCACCATCCTCAGATGGGACATCATGGCTTGAAGTCGTTCCCTCTCTTTGGTTAACTGGAGCTCCAGCTGGGCCACGACTTGCATCTGTACGCGAGCTTGGGCCGTGGAGCGATCGTCCAGCGAATGCTCCATGTTCAAGTGCCTACGCATTCGAAAAAAATATCATCGACCGCCCGAAATAGCAATCTCGAGATCGACGAAACGCCACCCACTTGAGAAAGGTGTTAAAATCTTCGCACAGGGATTCACAACCGGGCCACTTGCAAACCCCATGACCATAGAGCGCATGAGAATTAGGGGACTCGTTCACGGCCTTCCCCTCTCCACCTGGACTCCCAGACCCAGCTCCATTCCAAGCCTCCTTCTTCACGCTCAACAGCCCTGCAAACACCCAATCTGGCATTACCAGACCTCCACCTTGCACAACCTCCACCTTCCATCGACCTACCATTGAGACCGGAGTGAGTCGCAGGGGCGTCCGGAGACCCCGGCTCCTTCCTCGCGAGCATCCCCGCCAGCCCCGGCGACGGAGGCGACGACACCGACGTCCCCGTCGCGCTCGTCGCATTCGTCCCCCCGCCGCACCCATCCCGCCACAGCTGATGCAGCGTCTCGCTTCCGGCCGACGACGTGAGCCCCGCCGCCGCTTGGAATAGGTATTGCCGCTGCACCAACTGCAGCTGCTGCGACAGCGCCTGCTGCTGCGCCGTCAGCTGCGTCAGCAGCGACGCCGCTTTCTTTCTGTCCGCTCCGCTCGAGGAATGAAGGAGTTGGGATTGCTGCAAGAGCAATATCCTCAGCTGCTCTTGCAAACCCTGCATGCATTGCTCCAGCTGGGCTCTTCCCAGGTCTGCCAACTGCTGCTGCTGCCAGACAGAAAACCCAACAATCACGAGACCGCTGAATAGACCGCGAGTGGACCCTAAAAATTAATGCAGCTCTTCGGCAGACCAGTCCAACGTTTTAAAAGGGAAAATCGCAAGTTCTGGAAGGAATGAGGTCAGCCCTTGACTGCATCTATGCTCTCTCTCGACAAGTCGGCCTTCATATCGAGTCCCCGGACGAAGGCGATAAAACATTTTCAGACCAGCCCCCTATACGTCCCTCGACGAAGCGACGGGACTGCAAAGTACGACTTAAAATGCCGGCAAGACAACTAAAATTAGCTGGAAATTTTCTTCTCGGCCCTTTTGCACGCAGCGACACCAGTTGTCGAGAATGTCCCACAGAGGCTCCCCTTTCCAGGACCTAGCGCTCTTCCTCGAATTCCGATCGTGACCGACCAGTTTTAGAAAATAGATGGAAGTCAAAGCATGTCAACCTATTTTGTTTGTCATCAGAGAGATTGACAGAAAACACGAAGTGCAGCTTCATGTAGGCGGGGCCATACCAAGAGATCCGCAAGCTTTATTTTTACTTTTTATTTCCTTTCTATATCGGCTCCATTCGACTCGTCTATTGCCGTCTGAAGGCCGAGCAGACCAAAGCGAAAACAAATACATTTTTGTATTAATTTATACGCATTAGATGACTATTCGAGAGGAACATGACGGCACGTTTTCACAATTACAATTAAAATGACGCAGGACAGCTCACAGCACCAGAAGCCCTCACTGGACCCCTCCCCCCCCCACTGGACCCCCTCTTCCCCTTCACCCTCCCCCCCCCCTCCCCCCCCTTTCCCTTCTCCCCACTGGACAACTGAACCAGAAAGACACGAAAAGCGCTACCTGATGTTGCAGGAAGAACGGATGATGCTGCATGAGGGACGACAGCTGGACCTGCTGCCCGAGAAGTCCTTGCATCTGGCCTGGACTCTCCCGTCCGCCCCCGTTCTCGCCGTTCAGACTCCTCAACAGCGTCGACTGTGCGACAGGGAAAAAAAAAATAAAGATGGAAAAATCAGGGGGGCATTACGGAGAGAAATCTTATTTATGCGTGACACACGAGAGGGGTAGAGGATGTGACAAAGTCGGAAAAGGGGGAAGGAATAAAGGACGGAGAAGAGATCCTTCATTAATGGAGGACGAAGGGTGAAGAGGGGATTTTCTGTCTGTTAACGAAGGAGGAAGAAGGGGGGAAATGTTCATTTTTATGCGAACCCCGTGTGCCTTGTGCTGCCTGCCATCCAATTTGCATGAAAAGAGAGAGAGCTTTTTCTAATGAGTGTGCCAGGCAATTAGTAGCTGATCGGATTCATCAAGAATCTCGGCTGCATCTGCTTCTCGTGAAGAATGACTGCCGCTGCCGTGGCTGGCAAAGAAACTGCAATTAAAATGGAAGGAGGAGAATTCCCCTCCCAGAAAAGAATCGGAGGAAGGAAAAAAGCTCCATCCATCAGGATGGGGATGACACCCCAGTCAACGCATTCTGTTTGACACTCTTGATTGAATCGACTCTCGAGCCCCACCTCGAGAAACACCCCCCCCCCCCCCCCCCCCCCCCCCCCCCCTAAGTCCATTTTTTTTCCCCCCCCCCCCCCCCCTTAATCGCCATCATCATGTGATTGCCCGGACCCATACACCTATGGATATCGACGCGGGCGATTACGAAGCATGAAAAATGGACATCCCCTGGATATCCCCCGGACATCCCCCCTCGCATGGCCCGGAACATCAAGGGAGAGATTTTTCAGTTTGGAAAATGCATGAGAACGGGCTGAATAAGAGATGCGGAGTGGACATGCGAGCCTCTCATCGATGCCTCTCATCTATTGATGACCGTCCAATCGCACCCATACATCTTTCACCGCCTTTCATGCATGACACTCTCCACCTGGCATGGCAGGGGAAAACACGACTCCCTTCTCGTCGCCATGAATTTTCCAGGAACCGAGCGAAACGGTGCCTGACTGGGATTTTGCACCTTTTATCGCCTCCTGCAGGCCCGTCGCAGATGTCCACCCGTCATTATCCGCTCGGAACGGGACGAGAACGATTTTTTAAAATTACATGATCGCCCTGCATGCAACCCGATCCACCTACCGTCTCCTACCTGCGTAGATATTTTTGGACTTCGGCCATCGCCCGGCGATTCTAGCAGCCATCGACGAAAAAAAGTCGCCGACTCTCGGGGAAACAATGCGTCCGACACGAGGGTAACCACAAATTTCCGTTTGGTTCATCGTTCCGTTCGCTCTTAGTTCGTAATTCCTGAGAAACCGCGACAGCTCGTTCGGCACATGCGAATGCATGAGTCGACGCGTCTATTTGTTGCAAGGTCCTAGGGTCCACATGATCCAGCCGAATCTCGTAAGCCCCCTGCGAATCCCAGAGGGGAAGGCATCCGTAAAGTGACAAGTTGCTTTTCCTCTCCGTTGCACGACCGAAAGACGGACGCGAGCGTGGGCTTAAAATATGTAACTCATGGGACTACAACGGAAAGAACTTCATTTTAAAAATCCGCAGAAAACGGTGCGTTACTTGCGATCGATCCCCGACTCGAAGAACATTCGTTCTGGTAGCAAAAATGTCAATGAAGAAATACCGAAATTCGGGTTTTAGGGCAGGGCTGCCGGATTCTCGGCGATCAACCCGAATCGCCCACAAATTTCAACTCCCCACCACCGATGCCAAATGAGAAAATTATAATTTTCCGGGAAAGAACGGCGATCTAGCAACCATGCTTTCGGGTCACCCTCGCCGTCATCCTGACAGCCCAGGAATCTAGGTCAACCCGGGAAAAGGTTATGAATGCGTTCGTCCGTTCGTCCGGTTCGTCCGTTCCCTCTCCCGTTTCTGATTTTGTTCTTACCTAGCAAGTCGTTGGAAGCCTCGCCTGAACCCAAAAAAAACGAAGGAAAAACGCAAAAAAAACTCACGAGTGACGTAACTGCGAAGGAAGAGGAAGAAAACAAACAAAAACGATGGAGTCATGAAATACATGAGAATAGCATGAAACAGCGCAGACAACACCCGGCCTTCGTCCACCCTTCGAACACGACCGATCACGCTAATTATGCTAAAGACCAACATTATGATAATGATAATGACGATGACGACGTACAGAAGTAGCCGGCGAATACCGCCTAAAGGCGCTCGGGTAAGCCTTGAGCGACACCATCTCGGAACCTGTCAAGAGCCCGCCCCGTCTGCTCTTTTATATCGGCGACCACACGGGAGCCCGGAGCGACCCGGAATGCAGTCCCACTTCGCAGGACTGCGTGTCACGTCGCGTTATTTGCCGATTTGTGAGGAATCAGCAACCCTACACCGTGACGATGGGAATCTGCCGGAGCCAGACAGGCGGAAACACCCTCGAATGCCTCCCGGGGACATCCAGGACATATCATATTTTTTAATATAAATATTTCCAACATTTATGCAGTTTTTTTTTAAGCCTTTTGGTTTTTAAATTGGCTTTTCTTCCGCTTAAACAATTGGAACTCGGAATCAAGCTCTCCCAGGGCGCGAAAGCGACACAAAAGGCTTCCTTTCCACGATTTTTTCCAGAAGGAGGCTTCATGCATATGCATGAACGATACCAAACGCCTGTCTCCCTTCACAGCCGAGTGACATGCAAACCGCAACCGGCTAATCACACCCCGGAAAAAATGCTTTTCCCCCCCAATAATCACACCCCGGAAACGCGAGCGAGTCAAGTCCTTGCTGTGTAATTCCCAACGGCTGTATATTCTGACCATCGTGACTTGCGTCTGACCTCGGACGTGACATTTCCTTGCCGAAATATGATAATCGGCGGACCACCCAGCCGAGTGAAAGCAGAGCGGCAAAAAGGCGATACATTTCAACCCGAGCGTAAAGAAATTGGCTCTCGTGCTGAAAAAAATTGGCTACCTTTTAGTAGGCATCTGCAGCCGCCGTGCATCGCCGACATCGTATGCGCGCTTTCTCGCTGATGAGAAAGGCCATTTTCGTCGGCAGTGTGCGTGCTAATAGATCATTTCCGTGCTGCTTCACTGCTGGAACGTATATTGCTTGTGACAACCAGACGAGTGACATTCGCTTCATTCTTCAAGGTTTTCCAACGCCCGAACGGCTGTCCATGTGCTAGTCGCGCAAAATTACTAAAGCCATTCCTTGAACTAATTTCGTTTCTGCTCTCGATTTTAATAAAGTTATCTGTAGGTCACAACGGATTACCTTACGTAATATATCGGTACTCATCGGAACTTCTACCATTCCGCACGGGGAAGCACGGTACCGCCGGGACTCGGCCGGGATCGGGGCGGGGCGAGGGGTAGATAGCGGACCAATCGGAAGCAAGGAGCAGGCAGCGGACCAATCGGAGACGAAGTCACGCCGACCGCCGACCAATCGGGACTCGGGGGTTACTCAGCTCCCTTCCACCCCGGAGAAGATTCATTCTCTCTAATTTTCTTCTCAAGGCTTCTCGTTGCTCCTTTTCACCTTCCTTCGTTTGCGGCGATGACTCCGTACTCTCCGGATTGGTCGTCGGGTGCAACCTGAGGACGCTCGCGATTGGATGACCTTCGAGGCGCTGCCCCTCGGCCCTCGAGGCGGATATTTCGGACTCGAATACGTTTAACTTTTGAACGGTCTTGAATCTCGCTCACTCTCACAAACGAAAGCCGAGAGCACGCCCATCGGACAGTTTTCTGCCAACGATTTAATGAACGACTTCCTCTGAGCAAGCGAAGCGAACAAAGCCTTCTTCGAATGGTCAATGACATTTGGGTGCATCCAAACTTTTTCACATCGACTAAAAAGCGACTTCGTGACCGGTGCTGCGTCCAGCTTCGATCGAGAACTCGAGCCAAGGGAATAAATGTGGGAAAAGGTCGTGAAACTCCCACTGGAATAAACCGACGGCCAAGGGCGTCGACCCTCTAATTTCAACTCACAATTACGGACGAAGGACAATTAAGGTAGTTTGAGAAACGAGGAACTGGCAGAACTAGCCCAGCTTCAGATATCGAATCAGGTTTTACCTCCGAGTTGCCATGCTGACATTGCTCCCTCTAATTGTCCTTCCCTCTTTTTTCACAAGATGCTGCATCATTCACTTCACCCGTGAATATGGGCATTACAACTCGGTCCGATGCAACGGCGGTTCCGGAAAGGCCGTTTTACACGGCCGTTCCGGAACTCGTTTGGACGATCTCGTTCATCGATTAAATTATGAAGGAATTCCGAGGAACGGGGTCACGGGGCCATCGTCGCGTCCGAGTCGGGGATGCATTCGTAATGGACCGTAAACCGGGGATGTAAACCGGGGAGGTCGACCGGGGATGTCGACTCGAGAGTGTTCCCTGAATTAAGTCCGACGAATGAATTTATAAAATCTCCTATTTAAAAAAAAATTAGACCCTGTAGACTTTTTCCCCCAAAGATTTTCGAGACGCAAATAAAAAAGGAAGGGAGGAGACGATTCCTCGTAAACTCCTCGCAAGGTTTACCTTGTAATGAATGCATTTTTCAGACTCGGGTGGAGCAGGATTGGACACGATCGGGCGCGATCGGGATGACAAACCCGGTCAATAATAAAAATGCATCCGTCTTCATTTGTGCGAAGGCGGCACGTAAGGATCTCAAGTTCTACAAATCATTCGAATTTACCTTTTTTCTAATTTTAGTTATAATCCAAAAACTTGTGATTCCGAAGCTGACGCGACGTGATCGTCAAGCACCTTCGAGCATATTCCTGGTTTTTTTTTTGCCACGATGAAAGACAGAAAAGCTCAGCCTTTAAGGTTGTCTTCAATTTGTCCTTCGTGCCCTTCGTTTAGCAACGCACAATCATCAGAAAACTGCAGGGAGAATGACTCGTTTTCGTTGAGATCGGGGATAAATCCGCCTTGAACACCGTCACGGACTCACCTCAGTCGCGAGAAGGAAAAGCCAGCTCGCCGAATCGACCTGAAAACTCGGCACGATGCAAATAAAACAACATAGAATCCCGGAAATCCGGCATACGACGGTCCCCGTCGACTCTTACACTGCTCTTATGTAAGTCTGAACGTGGAGTCGGCTGGGGAAAAAAAAGTCGCGTGTGAGAGAATATTCCAAGCAGAACCTGAATGTCACGAGTGTCACAGTGTTTTTTCTGCATTTCGCGTCCAAAGCCGAGAAGCATAAATCTCGACAGAACGCCGGTGATGGGGTACGAGGCAGCGACCGAAGTTCATACTGAATCGGGGGATGAAAGTCGAATCTCGCGTCTTCACGGGTGCAAGTGAATCGGAAAGAGGAGTTTGATTCCTTCGTTAGTGATTCATTCTTTGTATTCTCGTTCGCAAAAGAAGTCAAGGACAACAAGGTACAGGCACGCTTGTACTCCCCAATGATAAAAGAAGTCCAAAGGGACAAGAGAAAGGAACTTTTTTCCTCAGACCGGTACTACATTAAAGTTCCTTTCGCTCGCCCCTTTTTGCCCGATTTCTCGGTCTGTGACGAGACGAGCGAAATCCCCGCTGCACGGCTCGATCCCAGCCCGAGAAATAAGCACAAAGGCGAAGGGACGAATTCACTTCTGTATCTCCGTCCAAAAAAAGTGTGCGGCTTTTGCCGGCGGGAATCAACTATTGCGATCGGCAAAAAGAATTCCTCTGGATCGCGAAGGAAATGCAAATCTTTCTTGGAATCCAGGCAACTTCGAACTTATGCACAAATGAGCCTGTGCCTTTTCTCCTTAGCTTTATACTTTTATTTACAATACCGATTTTCATTTTCCGAGAATTTTCCACGTGCGTCACATTCCTTCTGCTGCGATCAATGCCCACAATTACTTTTTTTTTCCCGGGTATGGGGAAAACAAGCAAAACCTTTGAGTGCCTCCTCTTTCACATCCCCAGAGCATACATGAATGAGGAAAAAGCGAAGGAAGAAAAATCCCGTAGAGGTAGATGAGGCTCGATTTAGGTCTACCGCGTAGGACTCTAAAACAAGTTATTCCCGCAAAACCTTTTGATTGTCGATCTGCGAACACCCTCGCTCTCGAAGGGGATCGAGCTGAAAATGCATGAGGAACAGGTTTCCCCATCGTTCCTGTATACGCAATGCGATCCGGATGTTTTGAGGGCTTTCGAAGGGAGCACCTTTCTGCACGAAGCACGTGTGAGTTGAATGCCATGTGTGAGAATTCCCACGAAATTCCATGCTCGAGATAAACGTTTACGTTTCAATCCGGCCGAATGTTGACTATCACTCGTGTAGTGCTGAGGTCTACGTTGAAAGCCACATTCGACGTCAAACTCTGCCCCATTAGTGCGAGTTTTAAATCCGAATCGTGAACTCTTATTTGAATGTGAATCTCATGTGAATTGTGAAATCTGTAGGTTTCTGACGGACTTTACGGAATGCGATGCGACGCTCCCGAATTCCCGGACTGCTCGTTATGCGATATCGCATTACGCGGCTTCTGAAGCGAATCGAGCGAAAGAGATATTTCCGGCTCACTTGGCAGCGACGAAAGCAGGCGATGCCATCTCACGGAGCAGTAAACAAACAGAGTCGACAGCGGGAAGTGGACGTCTGCCTGCTTCCTCCCCGCCGCACGAGGGGAAAACAGGGAAGAGTGCCGGGAACAGCCGCGAGATGTCGCCGAACGCAGACCTCCACTTCACAAGTCTTCGGCGGGGTGTTGCGGGCCAGACTGACGGGGAGGGGGAGGCTGGCAGGGGCATCATATCAATAACTAGGGAGGGTGGACCAATGGGGTGCGAGCGTGGCCGGGGATCCACCAATCCTTCCGTGTTTATCCCTTCCCCTCCGTGTTCAAATCTTGTTTACACAGACAACAAGGGAAGGCTCGCATCTGTGTGTGTGTTGTGTAGATGTGGCGCTCTTTCTCTTCCCCTCTTTCTCTATCAGCTCGTCCTTCCACCCCGGGAGCTTCTCTCAATCT